TTACATTGTTAGAGTCATCCAAATTTGAATCGTCTAAAATGTTTAAAAAATATTATTTTCCTAATAATTAATAATTAATATTGAGATGAGGAAAAATGTGACATCCCTACCGTACGCATCCAGAAGAATGTTTTTTTTTTTTTTTTTGGTGAGGGAGAAGAATGTTTGTTTAATTGTATTGGAGAAAGACATAAAATAAAATTTAATTAGATCAGTACTTTGCCACAGAACAACCATGGGTGCTAAGTTAACAAAGTTGTTCACTTTAAGAAATTTACCAAAATTTGAGTTCTTATCCATTTGTTACAAAGTTTAAATAGGTTAAAATAGACTTCTTGGGCTTTACAATGGTTCAAATTTCGTGTGAATTGGAGGTCTGTAGCTCCATAAATAAATTTTTCAAATTGATGGGAAGAATGGCAAACAAACAATATTACTGGGTTTTGCAATCAACGAAGAAGGAAGTTAGCTACTGCAGCAGTCTTTCGAAAGTCTACTCTTACGGCTCAGTTAATTAGGCATGAGTCTTACTTCTTGTAACATCCTTTATAATTAATTAGTATAGAGAATATCACGTAATTTTCTAAAAATATATTTTAGTAATAATAATTAATAATAATATATCTAGGAAAATATATTTAGGAAGATTAACTCGATATACTAACATCATTCATTATTTAACATGCATGTAAGTTAGTACATAAATTTTACAATCTAAATATTTTACAATAAAGTCTCATTCTAAACTATTTTACATCAGTCTCATACATAATTTTATATTCCTAACTACTTAAGGTTATAACATTTATACAATACATAAGTCTTATTCAGTCTAATGTATAATTATAAGATACCACGCCGTCCGGATGAAATATGGTCACTGCTCCTTCAGTACCCACTACTCTATAATATTCTCACGGTCATCATGGAAATAAATGGTGACAGTCCAGCCTTCTCCAGATAAAGTTAAGTTAGGCATGTCTCACTGGAAAGGTAAGCATACAAACAAATAAACATGAGATAAATCTCAGTAATATTGAGGTTTTTTAACTATAACATTTCTGATCTGGATAAAATATGATAGGCCCATCAAGGGCCCAAATACATAGAACGAGGCCAAACCTACAAGCCCCAGAGTAAGGCGTGATGGCTCCTATCGCGCATAACAGGGCGCGATGCCACCATCGCGCATGAAACCACCCTTTAACATAACTTCAGAGATAAGCAGCAAACACAGGAACTAATAAAGGTACACCGCGCCATTGAACAAATAAGCAGAAGACAACACCAGCTCGCCACCATGCTACCAAGATTGCTTCACATGAAGAGATAAGGCTATGATGGCACCAACTGAACCTGCAGCCCTTGAACAACCAATCAGAGGCCATACCGCCTTTCTAAGGTGGCATTAAAACCACTATATAAACAGAGGGTACATGCCCAGGTATTATCATCTAATTCGGTAAGAATACACATAAACCTATTGTTGATACTGACTTAAGCGACAGAGTGTCATTGCAGGTACCCCCCAGTCAGAATCATCGCGCTGAAGGAAAACCAAAGTCCTCCCATCATTATCAATAACCCTCAGCCCAGAAAATAGATTACTCAAAGGCCTTCACACTTAAACCGTGTGTGATTTGGCCCGATACACTTTGGCCAGCCCATATTGTATTGGTCTGATCATTGGCGCCATCTGTGGGGAGCTATGATACCGGTCACACTACTAATGAGTGCTATGACTTGAAAAACACCATTGAAATACTCATCAGAGTAGGAAAACTCCAAGAAATCATTTCTAATTGCAGAGAGTTTAAGGAACAAAGAAGGCGCGATAGAAGTCCTGATTGCGATCAGAATCCTGACTGACAAAGGGCATATCCTAGAAGAGACTATAACCCTGCCAGAAATAGTGATAACAGGAATGCGCGCGATGACCCAATGATAGAGGTTAAGGAATTCTGACGCGAGATAGACAACAGGTAGCGCAACAACACCAACTGCCTAATAATGCTGCCGGAGTGTTACCCTTCATCACTGGCGGAACAGCTGGAGGGGGAGCTACTAGCTCACAACGTAAGAAACATTTGAAATCAATCATGACAGTTCACGATCATACACAACCATCTACATCCCGCGTCCAGCGTCAATCCATAAGTTTTGATGATGAGGATTATGGTGACATCATCCCAGACCATGATGATTCGTTGGTGATCTCTTCATGCATGGCCAATCTCCAGGTAAAACGAATTATGATTGATAATGGCAGTTCTGCTGACACAACTTTTGGGATGCATTTCGCGCGATGAATATCCTAGAAGAATATTTAATTCCAGGTTGCACAAATTTGATCGGTTTTTCCGGTGAATGTGTACAACCTAAAGGTACCAACGAAATATGGGTAACCTTTGGGATCATGCCTCTGGCTCGTACTGTCAAAGTACATTTTTGTGTTATTGAATATGTGTCGGCATATAACGTCATCTTGAGACGTCCCCCCATTGCTGCTTTAAAGGAAATCATTTATATGCCTCATCTTTTGATGGAATTTTGAGACTCCACTAGCGCCGTTGTTTCCATTAGAGGCGATCAAAAAATAGCGCGAGGCTGTTACAACACCAGCTTACGAGTCAAACCAGCAACTCATCGCGATGAGAAAGGCAAGGCATCGATCAATATGACTGACTTAGACATGCGCAAAGATTTGCGCGATACGTAATCCTAGCCTTATGGAGAGTTAGAAGATCTTCAACTTGGTCCATTACCTGAAAACGTGACCAAAATTGGACGTCATTTACCAAAAATGGAGAAAAAGGAACTGGTGGCGGTATTATTAAGAAATAAAGATCTTTTTGCTTGGACAGTAGCCGATATTCCAGGAGTAAATCCTAATGTAATATGCCATCATCTTACCCTTGATCTAAAAGCCAAACCAGTCGCGCAAAAGAAGCGTAAAATATCTCTGAAAAAATAACAGTTGGTCGATATCGAAGTAACAAAGTTGCTCGAGATTAGAGAAATCACCTATTCCACTTGGCTCTCTAATGTCGTGTTAGTCAAAAAAGCCAATGGGAAGTGGCACATGTATACCGATTACACAGAGCTTAATAAACATTACCCAAAGGATTTCTATCATCTTCCTACCATTGACAAATTGATGGATAATTCTGCAGGATACCAAATTCTCTCCTTCATGGATGCGTATTCAGGGTACAACCAAATCACCATGTTTAAACACGAAGAGGAAACCACTGCTTTTATTACTGAAAAGGCTACTTATTGTTACAATATGATGCTATTCGGTATTAAAAATGCACGCGCGACATACCAACGGATGATGAATAAGGTCTTTAGCCAGCAGATTGGTCAAATGTTAGAAGTATATATAGATGACATGATTGTCAAAACAATGGCCGCCCCACAACACCCTCACGATTTAGAACAGGTGTTTCAGCAGTTGCGCAAATATAGATTACGACTTAATCCAGCCAAATGCGCATTTGGGGTTCCTGCTGGAAAATTCTTAGGATTCATGTTAACACATCAAGACATAGATGCCAACCCTGACAAATGCAGAGTTGTCCTCGACATGGCTAGCCCTCGAAATATTAAGGAATTACAATAATTGACTGGAAGGATAACAACTCTAACTCGATTCCTGCCAGCATCAGCATAAAAGTCGTTACCCATGTTCAAACTGTTACGTAAACAAACAGACTTCAATTGGACTCCAGAATGTGAATCAGGATTTACTGCTATTAAAGAACATTTGGCTAATCACCCAGTCTTGGTGAGACCTCAACCAGATGAATCCTTGGTCTTATACCTTTCAGTAAGTAGCGAGGCCATCAACACAGTGTTATTGCGCGAAGATGCCCAGGGACAACAACCAATTTATTTCGTCAGCAAAGCCCTTCAAGGTCCAGAATTGCGTTATCAACAGATTGAAAAAGTGACTTTTGCGCTTATTATAACCTCCTGTCGCTTGCGACATTACTTCCAGGGGCACACCATCAAAGTCAGAACTAATCAACCTCTTAGATAGTCTTACGTCAACCTGATCTTGCCGAATGAATGATTACCTGGTCAATAGAACTATCGAAATATGACATCATTTATGAACTGCGCTAGACCATTAAGGCCCAGGTATCAGCTGATTTCCTTGTACAAATGACGCATTCCTAACAGACTAAGCTAGACGATGATTGGACAATCTTCATTGATGGATCTTCCAATCTTAAAGGAAGTGGGGCATGAGTCATTGTTGAAAGTCCCCAGGGCGTCACAGTGGAGCATTCTATCCATTTTGGATTCAAAGCATCCAACAATCAAGAGTATGAGGCAGTTCGGGCTGGACTCGCGATGGTAAAAGACTTGGAACAACAAGAGTAATCCTGAAAAATGACTCACAACTGGTGGTTGCACAAGTACAACGAACCTACCAGGCAAAGGAGGCTTTAATGGAAAAATACTTGGATAAGGTACATTTGTTATTAGTTGATTTTTAAAGTTTTAAAATTGAGCATATCCCAAGAGAAAATAACTCCCGGGCGGATATTTTATCCAAGCTTGCTAGCACAAAGGGACCTGGAAATAATAGATTTGTCATCCAACAAAGTATTCCCAACCCAAGCATTGTGATGGCCGTCACCAAGCGCAAAGCTCATCCCTCTCACAAAGCAGAACACATGATAGATGATGACGAGATACAACCAAATGATAGAGAAACTTGGTTGACTCCAATTTGGAACTATTTGACTAAAGGCATAGCGCCTTCAGAACCGCGTTCAGCTAGAAAGTTAGTGCGCAAGGCTTCATTTTATACCATCATCAATAATCAGTTGTATAAAAAGGGATTCTCTTCCCCCATGCTGAAATGTTTAGACCCACAACAAGCCCAGTATGTTATCACTGAGGTTCACTAAGGAATTGGTGGTCACCACATGGGGGGAAAATCCCTATCCAGAAAGTTGCTTCGCGTAGGATATTTCTGGCCCACTATGGAAGAAGACTCTAAACAGCACGTGCGACATTGTGTCAAATGCCACGAGCATACAAATTTACACCATGCTCCTCTAGAGGAGTTATCTTCACTCATATCCCCATGGCCGTTCTACCAATGGGGTATGGATATTTTAGGACCATTTCTGATTGCGATAGGGGGAGTAAAATGGTTAATAGTCGCGATTGACTATTTCACCAAATGGATTGAGGTTGAGGCTTTAGCCACAATATTAGCTAGCAAGATCCGACGATTCTTTTATGGCAAGATCATATGCAGATTTGGTGTCCCTAATACCATTGTAACCAACAATGGAACACAATTTGTGGACAAGAAGTTCAATCAAGTGCTTCAAGATCTACACATCAAACACAGATATACATCTGTTGAACATCCACAAACCAATGGTTTAGTTGAAGCCGCGAATAGAGTCCTAAAACTAGGATTGGAGAGAAGATTGGAAGCAACAAAAGGAGACTGCCCGGAGCAGTTGGACTATGTATTATGGGGCAACATAAACACTCCACATTCAACCACTGGCGGGACTCCATTTCACATGGTTTATGGGAGTGAAATAATGATTCTAGTCGAAATTGGAGAGCCGTCTTGGAGAAAGATGTATGCAACAGAGGAAAGCAATTCTCAGGCATTACTGCATAACTTAGATACAATCAATGAAATACGCGAGATTTTCCATATCACGGAAGTGGCATTAAAACAGAGAATAACATCGCGTTATAATTCAAAGGTCATTAAATGCAGTTTCAACGTGGGAGAATTAATCCAACGCAGAACAGACTTTGGCAATAAAAATGCGCGACAAGGTAAATTGGCTGCGAATTGGGAAGGACCATATCGCGTCCAAAGCAAGACTGAAAAAGGCGCATACATCATTGAGACGTTATCTGGACTCACAATTCCACATACATGGAATGCAGATAAACTCAAAATATTTTATTGTTAAGTCCTTTCTTCAATTCAATATATGTATTTTTTGTTCATCATTTCGTACAAATAAAGCTTGTAGGTTTATATATGATCATATCATTCATTGCGCATAACAAACAACATATTATCGGTTAAAACTTCCTTCAAGCGCGATGAAGAAAAAAGGAAGGTAAAGCCTTAACTGGTTAAAACTTCCTCCAAGCAAAAAGGAAGGTAAAACCTTAACTGGTTAAAACTTCTTTCAAGCGCGATGAAAAAAAAAGGAAGGTAAAGCCTTAACTGGTTAAAACTTCCTCCAAGCAAAAAGGAAGGTAAAACCTTAACTGGTTAAAACTTCCTTCAAGCGCGATGAAGAAAAAAGGAAGGTAAATCCTTAACTGGTTAAAACTTCCTCCAAGAAAAAAGGAAGGTAAAGCCTTAACTGGTTAAAACTTTCTCTAAGCGCGATGAAGAAAAAAGGAAGGAAAAACCTTAACTGGTTAAAACTTCCTCCAAGATAAAGGAAGGTAAAGCCTTAACTGGTTGAAACTTCCTCCAACGCGCGACTAAGAAGAAGGAAGGTAAAGCCTTAACTGGTTAAAACTTCCTCCAAGCAAAAAGGAAGGTAAAACCTTAACTGATTAAAACTTCTTTCAAGCGCGATGAAGAAAAAAGGAAGGTAAAGTCTTAACTGGTTAAAACTTCCTCCAAGAAAAAAGGAAGGTAAACCCTTAACTGGTTAAAACTTCCTCCAAGCAAAAAGAAAGTTAAAACCTTAACTGGTTAAAACTTCCTTCAAGCGCGATGAAGAAAAAAGGAAGGTAAAGCCTTAACTGGTTAAAACTTCCTCCAAGATAAGGGAAGGTAAAACCTTAACTGGTTAAAACTTTCTCCAACGCGCGACCAAGAAGAAGGAAAGTAAAGCCTTAACTAGTTAAAACTTCCATGCAATTAAAGAAAGGTAAAACCTTAACTATTTAAAACTTCCTCCAAGATAAAGGAAGATAAAGCTTTAACTGGTTAAAACTTTCTGGTCAACACTTCCACACTTCGCGATGAAAACTCAAAGTTATAAAGGAAGATATAGAAAAGAAAGAGAAGAAGGACGAGGAGGGTAACAACCCCCAAAGGTTATAACTTTCTGACGTGGCCAATAAAGCAACCTCCTTCGACTGTGGCACAACGCCATATGACAACAAGGTACGATGGATATACATTATTTCGGTTTGATATCCCTATAAGGATATTACTGTTAGGATATTAAAGTTACTTGTGAAAATCAATGTGTTGATGCACACCAAGGTGAATTAAAAATCATCTTACATGATGGTTTACACATAGCATGCAGTCATAAAAAATATTTCAGAGGAAAACAGACTCCTCTGTTTAGCTCGCGACATCACAGATCGTGACATAGTATACCCTATGAGGAATGTCTCAGAAACGATAGCCATTGTTCAAAGATGATAAAACAAAATATTAATGGGACAACCCATTTACAAACCAGATCTTGCAAGAGTTAAAACAAAGTTTTCAAATTGTTTGGATAGACATATCCTGAGGATCTTCATTTGCGACCTCAAGGTCTACACTTTGAGTGGATGGCGCGATTGTTTGGGGAGGAGTCTCTGTGTCCATCGCGCTCACTAAATCCACCAGTTCCTCTTCATTATTATCATTCAAAGTCATTAGCTTTCCATCTTTGATGAAATGAAGATAGTGGATGTTATCCAACTTCGCAGTTGGATTGAAGAGACGCACTTGCTTAACGATATTCACATAGGTCCCCTCGGCCTCCTTCTCGAAGAAATCTTGAAACTTCTTTACCTCAGTATTCAAATGAGCCTTTCTCTTCCTCCAAAGTATCAACATCGGCCTTGAGATCCATGACACGTTTGGATAGAGTGGTCTTTTCAGTCCTCAGTTCTTTTGCATTTGCTTTCAAATCCTTTACCTCCTGCACTAACTTAGCTCGATCATCTTCAGCCTTTTTCATCCTTTCTTCAAACTCAGCGCACAAGATGGCCTTTTCACCCTTCAGGTCCACAATGCGTTCCTTAAGATAAGAAACTGTCTCTACCACACAGAAAATATTACGTTAAAAGGTCAAGACAAAGTTTTATATACAAAAGACATATAGTGATACTTACCCGGCACAGACATTATAAACTGGTTGGCAACGCTGAGTTTCCCAGCTACAGTCAGCCACTTATCCATAGGAATTTCTTTAATTCAGGGGCCTATTTCCCTTCCTTTCGCGAATAAATCAGCATTAAACCCCCAACCTTCCCCAAAGTAGGTTGACTCTGGAAAACCCTCATCAGTTTTTGCGAATTTTCTCTTTTGCCCCTGTGGTGAGTGCAACACTTCTTTCTTTTTGGGGGAGAGGGCATGGGTTGCTGTTGATGGTCTGGGTGACTTTAAACGCGCGACGGCACCATGACTTTATTCGGCACCAACAGGAGAAGAAGTGATTGATGGCACCTTAGGATCAGCTGGGATGGCATCTTCAGCAGCTTGTCTCGTCGCTATTGCTTTAGAACTATATGAAAACCAAAGGACAAAGAGTGCGCGTTAGACATATTCAAAATAGACACAAATATAAATGTTTCTTTTAGTTACAACTGAAATAATGTAAACGAACTTACCCAAGAAAGCCCTAATATCGTCATCAGTGTACTCATTCAAAACAGTATAAGTACTCAGGTAACCCGAATTAGAAGCCTCTCGCGCTATATTACATAATGTGATAACAGTATGCTTCTCATAATCATTCAAATCATCAAAACTATAGCTTAACTTTTGACCCTCTAAAGGATAATGTGTCCAATACAAAGGAAAGATGAGGGTATCGTCTTCTTCTTTTAAGAAAAATGCTTGGGAAACTTTTGCGAGGAAAATTTTGAAGAAATCTGTGGAAAATTTGTGAACCTTCCTCAGATAGGAGTCACAAAACTTGAATTTATCTTTTTCCCTGAAAGAAACCCAGCTGGAACGCAGCCCCATAACCTATACAGACATAAAAAAGATTCTGGAGATTGAAATAGGTTGTACGCCTTACAAACCATCTCGTACACCCTTATAAAACCCCAGACATTTGGAGATAATTGTGAGGGCGCCACATTGGCATGCGCTAACAACTTACAAACAAAGGACGAAAAAGGTAAACGTACTCCTATCGTCAAGAAGAAGTAGGCATACATCATTAAGAAATGTCCCGAAGACCCTTCAGCACGCGTAGAGCATATACGTTCATTTAAAGGGGGTGTTTGTTTCAGGATATCTCAAAATTTTCCTAGGGAAGTGCATGTTGTATTCTCCTTCTCCGCGTTTGGTTGAATGGAATCATGACTTTTACCTATGAAAAAGAGTTGCCAATCTAATTTCAAATGCACGTAAAAAAGGTATTTCTACAGTGTTAAAGAATGCCGTTTGCAACATGGTATTTCTTGAAAAACTGGAGAAATTGAAAAAGTGGGTGAAAATTAAGACAAAAATACCCCTTTTCTTAACCACATGTAACATTTAAAATTTTATAAAAAGGTTACTTTCGTAATTTCTATTTATTTCTCTATCAAACTTTTATTTTCAACCAAACATACACTCAGTATATTTAACTCAATTTCTCCACTAATATTTTACGGTACCAAACAATTTTTTTTTTTATTTTCCTATCAAACTCACTTTCTAACTATTTCCCTATCAATTACATTTTTCTAGTATTCAAAAAATTTCTCCTCGATCAAACGCCCCCTAAGTGGCGCTTTAGCCTTCCATATATAAGAAATGGCACGTAAGGCGCCAATCTCTATATATGTATGTGCTTTTTAATAATGGTGCATTTGTGCCAGAGTCACGATATTATTGGCGCTTTCATACGATTGTTTGGTATATGAGATATTTTTTTTGACCAATTAAATATTTTTTATTGGAATATGATCAGAATTTTTTTTTTCCGAATAAGCTAAGAAAAATTATTTGGTTGGCTCCAGAACAATTGGGTGAATTTTACTAAAGTTAAATTTGGATGATCGTAAAATATTGATAAAAAAATAAAGCAAAATTATGAAACTGCCTGATATTTTGAATATTGAATGTCCTTATTATTGAAAACGTTAATACGTCTGTGTTCTCTATCTCTCTCAACGTTTGTTTTTTGTGTGTGCACATTTGGCTTGACCTCTCTTCCTGTATCGGGTATCAATGGTGGATGAGATCTCATTAACACCGCCAAGCTCGCATAGCGCCACACCTACAAGTAATCCAGTAAGAAAAAGAAAGGGTAATCCAGCAAGTAAAAGGAAAGGAAAGTAAAGAAGCAATGTACATCTGACATTTGTTCTTCAATTATTGTTCGTTTTAACTTCAATATTTGGAACTCAAGCCCTTCCTTTCACCTTCTTCGTTGCGAAACAAAAGGTGCAAAATCAAGGCAACGCAAGGAAAGAGTCGTAGATCTTATCAATAAAAAAAGGAGCTCGATCTGTTCCATATCAGTTCAACTCTTCCCCTCCATGATGTAAAGAACCTTGGGATACACCACCCAAAAGCTAGCTCAAAGGGTGAGAGTGTCCAAGGCCTTATAAAGGCCAGGCCCAACTTACCTGTGCTAAGAAATGCCACAAGAGAAAGTGGGGGGCGGCGAGACTCTGATACCATGTAAAGAACCTTGGGATACACCACCCCAAAAGCTAGCTCAAAGGGTGAGAGTGCACCTTATAAACTCCACATTAGTTGCTCATATAACCAATGTGTGACTATATATCTCAACACCTGAACTAAGTCCACTAATTTCATCAACACGGATAACTCAAGAAGTTATCATGAATCCAGTAACAACCAATCACATACCATTGGTTCTTCTAATGCTTTCTTACAAAGTCAACTTGAATCCCTGGGACACAGGAAGTCATCCCTGTAAAAATGTGAATCCCATAGAAGTAAGCACAACAAGATCAATTATACATAAATTTGAGGAAGTCATCCCTGAAGTGGTTTTGAGAAAAGAGAGATTTGTAACACCTACAAGCAGCCACA